TTTACGTGCATTTATTCTAAATATGTCATACTATTATTTCCATACAAATAAATCCCTTTTTTCGCTCATTTTTCAGTACAGAATTACTTTTATTTCTGCCCGAGTACAGAGTGCCAATACTTTATCCCAGCACTGTATGTAATAACGTTTCAAAGCACCCTATCCACGCATGAAGGGTAGATAATCCAAAATTGTAGTGTTTTATATTGAGTATTCGTTTTATGACTTCAATTAAATTGTTCATTATTTTTGGAGTCGCTCCACATGACGTACTGCCCCTTCTTCCTAATTGATATTCGACGCTGCTTGATTATCGATTGAAACGTCTCAGTCTTTTGTATATTTATCTAATCATTTTGTTTGAGTAATTATGTCCTCAATATTATTTGGTGGCAGCTCGAAATTTCATATAAACGTTGCCAGCATTATACAATTCATACATCACAGTACGATTTCTTAAAGCTTGTTCTGCCATTCTCTTGCACGTTTTCACCACGTGGGCTCATTGTCAGTATCACTTAACCTCAAATTGCTGACTATGCACACTGATTGTTCTAAATCCGGTTCGAAACACCAATAGTGCGGAGAATTTTAATCCTATCTTTTCCACAAATAAACGTAGGAGCTCACCGTTAAATAAAGGTATTACACGACTTCTTAAAGTTTGTTTTATTTTCCTCCATAACTCCACGTGGTCTTTCCTTTGTCACACTACACACATACTCATTCGAGACAACGCAACAATAATGCCAGAATCGTGGGCCGCGGGCGAAAGCAGTTACTCCCACTATGACCTACCGCCATCTCCCACTATACCGTACTCGTGCTCTCACACAAGTGTAGCGGTAGATCTGTCCGTGTGCGAAGCCTGTTCGGCTTTTTCCGCCCAATCCCAATCCCACACTATCGCATTAAAAAGGAAAATAAAAAAGATGTATATATTAAGGATTGTGGCGTGGAAAGATTATTGTCCCCACATAGATAGATGGCCTTCTTATTTCCTTTTTGATCTATACTCTCGCGAGGTCCGTTGCGACAATCTTTCCTCAAACGTTTTTCGCGAGTTGCTTGGCGACAGTGTCCATTTTCCTAATTGATTAAACCAATGCGTTGGTGGTAACCAATTTGGAATTTTGTCTTTAAAAATCGCCGCTAGTCCTTTATGTCCCTGATGCGCTTTTTCCAGGACCACAGCCAGTTATAGTGAAAGGTATGTCCGCCGTTGCCGATTTGACAACCCAGCGAAATTTCTACTATTGTAAGTCCGGTACCTATGACCTGTACGTTATGGGCCTCGTACGGTGGACCTTTCGGAAACTGTTAGTTTAGGACGCGAAAATTTGCTATTGGGGCTGTTGGTGAAAGTTTCTAAAATATTTATTAGAATTTATGGTAATAAATTGAAAGGTATTATTTGAATTATAAATACTTCTTTATTTTGATAAGAGGAAGGCACGTCGCTACGCAATTGATAAAACAAACATCGACAAGACGCTGAGAAAATAAAACATACATATCAGCGTCACCCATACTAAACAGATGGTTACTATGTTATTTTTCTATATATGTTTATATTAATCTGTCTCAGTATGTTGATCATTTTTGCTGTTACTATTACACAGACACACACTCATTTCTCCTAATAATCCAACAAAAACATGCATTGTTTGATTTATTAAAAATTAAGTAGACTAAAATGGTTTCATAAAAAATAGCTTTGCTAGCGCGCACATCATAAACTGTACTGGTCATCTGCACGCTGACTGTTCTTATGAAGCTGGTTGCTACAGGGGTAGAGAGCCAAAAACTTGACGAAATGGTTTTCCTAGGAAGTCCTTACAATTGAAGTATTTTGCACGTTTGATTTGGTTTAGGGGCACCTTTGCCATGCTTATGCAGCTAGACCTTTTCCATACCAACTATGCAGACGTTAGAAATAGACGAAACCGAAACACTCGAAAAACACAACTTCAACGAAACAGGCCAGACAAAATTCAAAACTTCCTCACAGAAACGGACGACACAATTCTTCTAAACAACAGAAAGCTATCTATAGACGAAATTGACAATTATATTCACAAATTCAGCCACAATATAAACAAAGCGATCGACCACGCAACCCCACGAATACAAAAAAGTTATAAATCAACCGACAAATACATAACGCCACTCATCAGACGACTACGCAAACAAAAAAGCAATCTCATCATACAAATAAATAGACTAACAAGACCTGAAAATTACACTTCTACAAACGACTCACTAATAACAGCATTCAAAAACACACTCAAAACAGTTAGGTACGAGCTGAAAGAAGCTTTTCACCACTCTGCCAACGACTACTGGAAAAACAAAATAACAAATATACACCCGCGCAACACCTTAAAATTCTTTCCCTCAATCATATTTCGACCCAAAGAAACGAACAACATAGAAACACTCAAAATTCCTAAGACGAACACACTCTTTTTCCAAAAAGCACAGATAAATCCCGACAATCAACAAACAGACACCCAAAGCAACATCGTCATAACAGACACTGAACAAAAACTAAAAATTCTAGGCGCACACTTCGAATCAGTACACAAGCAAAACTTACACATGGGCAAAGAATAATTCTTAAACATCATTAAACAAAATATTCATACACTCGAACAGGAGATAATTCAAGACAGACTCAACAACAAAACGACATGCACATTCGGCGATACCAACACAGCAGACAATCCGGACGAAAAACAACCACCCACCGATTACATCACATCATACACAAAAATTAAATTCACCCTCAAAAAGTTAAATAACAAAAAATCCTCCAGCTTCGACAACATCCCCAACATTGTGCTTAAAAACCTACCTCCACACTACATATACAATTACACAATAATTTTCAATAACTGCCTAAACCTGATGTATTTTCCCACCGCTTAGAAAACGGCAAAGATAATCACAGTAAAAAAAAAGGGAAAAGACGGAAGCAAACCAGCTGACTATCGACCAATCAGCCTGCTCGCGAATATCAGTAAAGTATTCGAAACAGTAATAAACAACGCTTTAAACAAATTCTGCGACTTGAACAACGTCATCCCAGAGACTCAATTTGGGTTCGGATTCCAACATTCCACGATCCACGCGATCTCAAAATTAACAGCAGACATATGTTGGGCTAGAAACGCCAACTAGTGCGTAGGCGCGCTCTTCATAGATCTGGAAAAAGTTTTCGACACGGTCTGGTTAGATGGCCTCTTCTTTAAAATGATAAAAAACAGCTGCACACGACATTTGACCAAAATGATCTGGAGCATGCTTCATAGAAAAAAAATTCAGAGTGGCGGAAAAATCATACGCTTCCACTGAAACCTTTCACATTAAAAACGGACTCCAACAAGGCACAGTCAATTCCCCCATCTTGTTTAGCATATTTATAAGTGACTTACTCAACATGTACGGACTCAACAACGACCACGACAAATTCGCAATAGCCTTCGCGGACGACTTATTAGTATACATAAAAGACAGCAAACCCTCAAAAATAAAAATACAGCTACAGGAAATACTTAACAAAATACAAGACTACCTCCACACGTGGAAACTAAAAATCAACACAAACAAATGCGAAACAATCCTCTTCAGACCTTACATTTCAAAAATCTCGAACGCAAACACGGACGTACGGAAACATACCAAAAACTTCCACCTACAGGACACGCACAACGCACAGACAAAACTACAAAACAAAAACATAGTACGATATCTAGGAGTACACATAGACTACAGACTAAACTACTGCAACCACGTCGACATACAAATAGACAAAGCACAAAAAGCCTTCGCCAGTCACAAACGATTATTCTATTCCAAGGAACTAAACACCGAAACAAAAATCACCTGCTACAAATCACTAATACGGCCAATACTAACGTATGCCTCACCCATTTGGTTCAACGTCTCTGCGAGCACAATGGAAAAACTGAGAGTAATAGAAAGGAAATGCCTTAGAGCCTGCCTGGGCAAATACAGAACACCGGAATCAAACTACACAAAACTAATCAGCAACCACAAACTATACGAATACGCCAACATAACCAGAATAGACTTACACATACTAAAACTCATAAGAAACCACTGGGCAAACATCAGAAACGTAACAAACAATAGTCTCATATACAGCTCCACATACCCCAACCCACAATACCACGAAAAGACACGACACACAGGATACATCCCACCAGAAGCATTCACACACCTCGACAGTCAAGGATACATACAGGACAAAGACAATACACCACTCATCTACCACACCACACGCAAAGCAGACAACAAAAAGATTCTCTACTCAACGGACATAAATGACAACGACACAAACACACGACTCAACTACAACTCTCAAAAATAGATAAGAAAGACACACACCGACGTAACAAAAAGAAGTACTGGTGGTTACAACACTAACCACTTAACAACAATGTACCAGAAATACAAATAAACAAAAAACAATTGACACCAAATCCTCGTTAGTATAGTAGTTAGTATCTCAGTTGCTCCTCAACCTTCGTAGGAGTCGGACGTGTCCTAAGCGACCCTCGCTACCTACCTGCGTTAAGTCGAGTGCAATTAACCCAGGATCTGTGCCTCAAGTGAAGTACATCGAACAGAAGTGTCGCGAAACAAACAGTGACACATAATTATATTAACTTTAATAGTTAATATTCAGTCTGCAAATTATCGCAAAATCTCACCATAGAAAACAGCATAAACTCGCAAGGGGAGTCATCCCCAAACGATGCGCCTCCGGTAAATACGGAGACCCTCGGAGAAAATGTTAAAGCGACAGAATTAATAAAAATAATAAAACAAAAAAATTTATTAAAGGAAGAAAACGCAGGATTGCTAGCCCATGTCACAAAAGTATTGACTGGAAAAAACACAGTCAAAAGACTAAATCCAAAACCAAATATAACTCATCGGAAAAACCAAACAGGAGAAGAATCACAGCCATCATGAAGTCAACGAAGACTAAACCCGCGCAGTCCTCGACACAAGAGGAATCACCAAAACCTTCTTACGAGGAATTAATAAAAATAATAATGAATCTGAACGAAACGATAGCAAATCTATCGAAACAGTTAGAAGAGGAAAGGCAAAAGAAAAGGAAGCAAGCCAACGACGTCGACGAAAATCTACCTGAGGTAGAAATGGAGCCAGCGGAAATCCCCAAGGATAAGCCCGCACCGACATCGTAGGAGTGGTCGACCGTTACGCGACCCAAGAGGAAGAACACCCCTAACGCGGTACCTGCTAAAACAAATGAGGACCCCCCGACGACATCCACGACAGTACAAGCAGCTCCACGCAAAAAGCCCAAATTTGGAAACGAGAGGGATGTACCCAAACAATCTAATCCAAGCACCAAACCCCCACCAATAGTAGTATACGGTAACACATGCAAAGGAACGATTGAGTTAATTAGCAAAATATCAAACAATTTTCACACAAAAAGAATAAATAGCGAAAAACACATCTTACACATGGACAATGCAGAATCGTTCAAATTAGCCTGCAATAGTTTAAAAACAAACAAAAAGGAATTTTTTACCTACACTCCAAAACAGGATAAGGTGACGACGATCCTTCTAAAGAACTTAGAAGGAGAATTTGACCCGGACACTGTACTGGAACACTTAAAAAGCAAAAACATCGATAACGTAGTATTCAAATTCGTTAAAAAGTTCACAACCCAGAGATCAATTAAAGAGGGCCGAAATCTCCCAATATACTTAGTTCAAATCTCACAAGAAAGCAAAGTCGATAATCTAACACAAATAAAAACATTGCTACACTCATTAGTATCGTGGGAAAAGTTAATCAAAAGAGATCGCATCCAGTGTAAGAGGTGCCAACGAATTGGCCACGTGGCATTTAACTGCAATTTAAAATACAGATGTGTAAAGTGCAACGATCCGCACAATCCAGGAGAGTGCCCGCGCACCAGTATGACAGATGCTCAACCCTATTGCGCAAACTGTAAACAATTCGGACATCCAGCCTCTTACAGAGGATGCCCGAAGCTAGTTGAAATCAAACAAAAAATCGAGGATAAAAAGCAACAAATGAAATTAGCAAAAGAAAACAAAGAGAAATTAGTCAATAAATTAGTAAGACCGAATGTATCATTCAGTGCAATAGTTTCAAACACCAACACGCATACAAACTCATATCAACAACCTCCTCAACCGCGAGCTCAACCGAACACTAACACTACACCTCACACACCGCTATTAGAGGAAATTAAAAACATCATCACAGTCACGATCAATTCACAAATCTCTCAACTAGCAGAAAGCATTGCAGCAAATAGAAATAGGATTAATATCATAGCAGATGCACTAGAAATCAGCATATAAAATTCACCGCACCGGGAACAAGTAGAAGTAAAGCCAATGAACTGCTAATTAGCGAGCTTAGAATAATTCAAATCAACGTAAACTCAATAATAACTAACGAAAGAAGAGTCACACTCCTGGATTGTCTAGACAGACACAAACCGGATTTAGTTTTGCTCTCCGAAACAAAACTAAACCCGATCCACAAAATCACTTTTAAAGACTATCAATTCATAAGAAGAGATAGATTAAACTCTAAACAAGCGGGCGGCACGGGAATACTAATTCGTAAGGACATTAAATTTAAGAACGTCCAGCCAACCTGTGTCACGAATAGCGTAAGTTTCGAGTCTACAGTTTTAGAAATTAAATTTCAAAATAATTGCAAATTATACATAATCGCAGGATATGCAACCAGCAACTGCAGAAAAGAATTCATGATGGAATTCAGGTCGTTATTTAACGCCCTGGAACTGTATAAATCCGGCAACTATTATTTATTGGCCGGAGACTTAAATGCTAAACACCAGGCATGGGGCAATACAATTAACAATAGTCGGGGAATATCATTGAACAAATGGCTTCTCGAAAATGAAATCACATATAGAACATCCCTTTACAGAACAGCAGTCCCATCATATCCTAAAAGCGGAGCGTTCATTGACCTCTGCATAGCCGACAACAGAATAAAATTCCACGACACCCTCATTCACAACCACCTCAGTTCCTTCCAATACGACAGCGACCATAGAGCCTCACTAATGACAATATCCATTCCTTCGACCGGGTCTTTTGTTTTCGAAGAATCAATCCCAAACATAAAATATAACTTTAATAAAGCCGACTGGACTAAATACAAATCTTTCCTAATCGAAAATGACGAAACTAACATAGCAAAAGACAGAAACCTCACGACTAGCGAAATAGACAACTACATAGAAATACTCAACACAAACATACTCAACGCAATAGACAATACGGTACCACGAATAGACAACAATTTCAATTCAACGGATAAATACATAACCCCAAAAATAAAAAATCTCCGCAAACAAAAAAGCCACTTAATCACACAATTAAACAGACTGTCACGGATACAGAATTATACCGCAGCAAACGACCCATTAATAGTTACGCTAAAAAAAGCATTAGCTCAAATTAGATACGAAATCAGGAAAACGTTCCAAGAAACCGTGAGCAACCACTGGAAAAACAGAATAGCTAAAATCTCAGTGCACAAACCGCGCGAAATGTTTCCCTCCTTAAACAGCCTTTTCAGAACAAAAGACAACACCGAAATTGAGACGCTCAAAATTCCCTCCACAGATACAAACCTCCTCAGAAAGGCCAATCTCGATATTAACCAATTGCCAACAGACACAAACAACAAAGTCCAAATCACAAATCCCCGAGACAAATTAGACGTGATCGGAGCACACTTCGAAACAGTCCACATGAAAAACCTGCACATGGGAAAGAAACAACACTCAAATATAATAAATCAGAAAATAAACTCGCTTCAACAAGAAATCCAAAACGACACCACACTATGCACATTCACTGCAACAAACACAGCAGACAACCCGGATGTAAATAGCATTCCTCCAAATTACTTCACTTTCTTCGATAAACTCGAAAACACGTTCAAAAATCTAAATAACAAGAAATCCTCCAGCTTTGATGGAATACCTAACATAGCTCTGAAACATCTACCCAGACTTTACATATATTATTACTCTATCCTTTTCAATAATTGCTTAAACGCATCGTATTTCCCCACAATTTGGAAAACAGCCAAATTGATAACAATAAAGAAAAAGAACAAAGACGGCAGCGACCCCAACAACTATCGCCCCATAAGCCTGCTACCAAATATCAGCAAAGTCTTCGAAACATCGATAAATGATGCAATTGTCGGATTGTGCAGATCCAGAGACATAATACCTGAAACACAATTCGGTTTTCGACACAAACACTCCACAGTACACGCAATAACCAAATTCACCTCGGACATTTGCTGGGCGAGAAATGTAGGCGACTGCGTAGGAGCCTTGCTAATTGATTTAGAAAAAGCGTTCGACACCGTTTGGCTGGACGGTCTCTTTTTTAAACTTCTCAAAAAACAGTTCCCGATGCATTTGATAAAAATCATCTGGAACATGTTGCACGAGAAAAAATTCTATGTAGTGAACGGTCAGTATTCATCTAGTAAAGCATTCAAAATCGCGAACGGGCTGCAACAAGGCACAGTAAACTCCCCCGTCTTGTTCAACATCTTTATGAGTGATCTACTACAACTGTACGACCTAAATACGGACAACGCCAAAAAAGCAGTAGCATTCGCAGACGACTTAGTAATATACATCAGACACAACAAACCATCCAAATTGCAATCCCTCCTACAGGAAACCTTTAACAAAATTCAAGATTATTTCAACACGTGGAAATTAAAAATAAACATAAACAAATGCGAGACTATTTTATTTAGACCATACATATCCACCATTTCCGATGCTAATAACGATGTTCGTAGATTCGCAGGAAAATTTCACATTCACGACAGCCAAAACCCGAATATCAAAATTCCACGTAAAGACGTTGTCCGATACTTAGGAATACATCTGGATTTTAAGCTTAATTACACCAAACACGTAGAGATACAAATAGAAAAAGCACAAAAAGCCTTTGCAAGTTACAAAAAATTATTCTATGCCGAAGACCTAGATAAATGCGTCAAAATTTTATGTTACAAGCTCTTCATCCGACCGATCCTGACATACGGCTGCCCCATCTGGTTCAATATCAGCCCAGGAAATATGGAGAAACTTCGAGCCTTCGAAAGGAAATGCATCCGAGCCTGCCTCAACAGATACCGGTCACCAGAATCGAACTACACAAAACGGATCAGCAACTATAAACTATACGAAGAAGCCAAAATGATCAGAATAGACCTATTCGCGTTAAAACTAATAAGAAACCATTGGGCTAACATCAACACAATAGTATCTAACAGTCAAATATATAGTTCAACATACCCGAACCCATTGTACTTCGCGAAAACCATGAAAACCGGATACACACCACCAGAGTCATTTATTTATTTAGACAGCAAAGGTTATATACAAAATTCTAGGAACATTCCATTAATATACCACGTATTTAGAAAAGCAACCGATAAAACCATCACCTACAATAGAAATATAGATTTCGAAAATTCCGCCATGCGATTTAACTACAAATTATCCAGCGTAGACCTGAAAGACAAGCACAGACAAAATATAAAAAAATACTGGTGGCTATAAACTAAAAACAAAAATTTAAAATCAAAGTTATTGTAAAATCCTCGGTAGTATAGTGGTTAGTATCCCCTTTTCTCCACTCGACCTTCGTTGGAGACGGACGTGTCTACCGATCAGTGCGAAAGGAAACAATCGAGCGGAAAAAAAAAAAAAAAAATTTTTTGTCCAGTTAAAAGAAGAAAGACAGCGGAACAAGAAGGAGATAGAACCGACCACCAACACGAGCAGGCCAGCGGAAAAACCCGCGGCCCTAATGGACACCCCTCGAGAAACATTAAATAAGGACGCATGGACGAAAGTCGCCTCTGGAAAAAGGCCTTACACGAGCCCCACACCGAGCCCAACGGCAGATAGCAGCCCCAAACACCCGAACGCAGGGCCGAGCACGAGCCAACAGCGCCCACCACCTACTACAGCAGTACCCGTTCCAGCCACAAACAGGGTAAAAACCGACAATAACACCACCACAGAAACATCAACTAAAACAGTAAAACCTCCTCCAATCACTATAATAGATACTCCCGCCAAAACAATAATAGATATAACTAGCAAAATAACAAAAAACTTTTACACAAAAAAAATAAACTACAACAAACACCTTCTGTACATAGACACCACAGACTCGCATAAAAAAACCTGCGACACACTTAAAACACAAAACATTCCGTATTATACGTACACCCCGAGAATGGAGAAAAACATCTCCATTCTCATAAAAAATCTAGATGGCAACTTCGAGCCAGAAATAATACTAGACGAACTTCGCTCAAAAAATATTAACGACCTGCACTTCCTAGCTATTAAAAAATTCGAAACCAAACGGTCCATAGCAGAAAAAAAAAATCTGCCCATATTCATTGCCCAGCTGTCTCCCGACAGCAAAACAGAGAACTTAAAACAAATAAAAGTAGTCCTCCATTCTCTAATCTCTTGGGAGAAAATTATTAAAAAAGAGCGAGTTCAGTGCAAACGGTGCCAACGCATTGGCCATATTGCACTGAACTGCAACCTAGAATATAGATGCGTTAAATGCAACATTCCGCATAACCCGGGCGAATGCACACGCGAAAAAACAGCTGAAACGAAACCCTACTGCGTCACCTGTAAAAGCTTTGGACACCCCACCTCCTACAGAGGATGCCCAAAAACTGATAGAAATGAAACAAAAGATAGAGGAAAGGAAACAGTCCTTAAAAGAAGAAAGAGAGAGAAAAGTACAACTATTACGCAAAACCGTTGACCCAGGCATCTCCTACAGCGCGATGCTCACAGGCACACGACCCCAGACGCACACAGATACACACACAAACGCACAGGCCAACAAGACACAAAACACACAAAACGCGACAACTAACACACACCACCCAACACTCCTCGAAGAAATAAAAACAATTACCAACTCAATAAATAATCAAATGGCCCGAATCGCAGAGGCCGTTGAACTAAACACAAACAGAATCAACTTCATAGTAGAAACCCTTGGAATAGATTTTTAACATTCAACTTCCACACATCACCACAAACACGACCACGCAATAAGCTCTCACTCACACAGCTAAACATCATACAAATAAATGTAAACTCAATCATCACGAACGAAAGACGAGTCAGCCTCCTAGACTGCATTAAAACATACAAACCCGACATATTACTACTTTCCGAGACGAAACTAAACCCACGACACAGAATTGACTTTCAAAATTACAGAGTTATCAGAACAGACAGACCAAACGCTAAACAAGCTGGGGGAACAGCCATTATAATCAAAGATAATATCACATGCAAACACATCACCATAAATAACACCACATGTTTCGAAGCAACTGTAATAGAGCTGAAATTACAAAACACCGAAAAACTATTTATAATAGCGGGATATGCGACGAGTAGCTGCAAAAAAGAATTTATGGTCGAGCTCAAACATCTTTTCCAGCAGCTCGAACTGCACAACCATAACAATTATTACATATTAGCAGGTGATCTGAACGCAAAACACCACGCCTGTGATAACGCTATTAACAACAATAGAGGTATTGCTTTAAATAAATGGATACAGGAAAACGAAATTCCCTATCGAATTTCACTGTACAAAACAGCAACACCGTCATTTCCAAAAAGCGGAGCGTTTATAGATTTATGTATAGCCGATAGCCGCATAAAATTCCATAACACACCCAAACACAGATCCCTCAACTCCTTTCCATACGACAGCGACCACAGAGCAGTCAAAATCCAAATCTCCATCCCGACGATGAAGACCCTCGAAATAGACGAAACAGTAGCGCCAAAAAAATATAACTTCAACAAAACAGACTGGACACAGTTTAAAAACTTCCTCATAGAAACGGACGACACGATCTTACCGAACAACAGAAACCTAACAACGGACGAAATAGACGAATACATTGACAAACTCAGCGACAACATCAACAAAGCAATAGATCACGCAACTCCACAAATACCAAAAAACCAAAACGCAACCGACAAGTACGTAACGCCACTAATCACACGATTACGCAAACAAAAAAGCTACACTCTCACCCAGATCAACAGACTAACTAAACCAGAAAACTACACAATAGCAAACGATACACTGATAACAGCACACAAAGACATACTAAAAATAATCCGAAACGAATTAAAGAAAGCCTTCCACGAATCTGTCAACAATTTCTGGAAAAAGAAAATATCCGCAATCACTCCTCGCAACTCCAGCAAGTTCTTCCCCACACTCAACAGCATATTCCGACCTAAAGACACAAATAACATCGAAACCCTCAAAATTCCCAAAACAAACACCCATTTATTACAAAAAGCAAAAATAAACTCTAATACCCACCAAACGGACACACAAAACAACATCCTAATCACAGACACAGAACAAAAACTAAACGTACTCGGCATACACTTCGAAGCAGTGCATACACAAAACCAACACATGGGCAAACTACACTCACGAATATCATCAAGCAAAAGACTGACGCACTAAAACAGGAAATACTACTCCAAGACAAACTTCACAACAAAACGATATGTACATTCGACAATACCAACACAGCGGACAACCCAGACGAAGATAGAATCCCTCCAGACTACTTTTCCTCACACACAAAACTGAAACTGATACTAAAAAAATTAAACAATAAAAAATTGTCCAGTTTTGACAATATCCCGAACATAGTCCTCAAGAACCTTCCACTCCACTACACATACAATTACACAATCATATTTAACAATTGCCTCAACCTCACGTACTTCCCCACTGCCTGGAAAACAGCAAAACTAATTGCGATAAAGAAAAAAGGAAAGGATGGTAGCAACCCAGTTGACTACCGTCCTATCAGCCTACTCGCAAACATCAGCAAAGTATTCGAAGCATCAATCAACAACGCCATAAGCAAACACTGCGACAAAAATAACGTTATCCCAGAAATGCAATTTGGGTTCAGACACAAGCATTCCACAACGCACGCTATCAGCAAACTCATGTCGGATATCTGCTGGGCCAGAAACGCAGACGAATGCGTCGGGGCGCTCTTTATAGACCTACAGAAAGCCTTCGATACGGTCTGGTGGGAAGGCCTCTTTTTCGAACTAATAAAGAAGGGATTCCCACAACATCTGACCAAAATGATCTGGAGCATGCTTCATGGAAAAAAATTCAGAGTGGCGGAAAAATCATACGCCTCCACTGAAACCTTTCACATTAAAAACGGACTCCAACAAGGTACAGTCAACTCCCCCATCTTCTTTAGTATATTTATAAGTGACTTATTCAACATGTACGGACTCAACAACGACCACGACAAATTCGCAATAGCCTTCGCGGACGACTTATTAGTATACATAAAAGACAGCAAACCCTCAAAAATAAAAATACAGCTACAGGACATACTTAACAAAATACAAGACTACCTCCACACGTGGAAACTAAAAATCAACACAGACAAATGCGAAACAATCCTCTTCAGACCTTACATCTCAAAAATCTCGAACGCAAACACGGACGTACGGAAACATACCAAAAACTTCCACCTACAGGACACGCACAACGCACAGACAAAACTACAAAACAAAAACATAGTACGATATCTAGGAGTACACATAGACTACAGACTAAACTACTACAACCACGTGGACATACAAATAGACAAAGCACAAAAAGCCTTCGCCAGTCACAAACGATTGTTCTATTCCAAGGAACTAAACACCGAAACAAAAATCACCTGCTACAAATCACTAATACGGCCAATACTAACGTATGCCTCACCCATTTGGTTCAACGTCTCTGCGAGCACAATGGAAAAACTGAGAGTAATAGAAAGGAAATGCCTTAGAGCCTGCCTGGGCAAATACAGAACACCGGAATCAAACTACACAAAACTAATCAGCAACCACAAACTATACGAATACGCCAACATAACCAGAATAGACTTACACATACTAAAACTCATAAGAAACCACTGGGCAAACATCAGAAACGTAACAAACAATAGTCTCATATACAGCTCCACATACCCCAACCCACAATACCACGAAAAGACACGACACACAGGATACATCCCACCAGAAGCATTCACACACCTCGACAGTCAAGGATACATACAGGACAAAGACAATACACCACTCATCTACCACACCACACGCAAAGCAGACAACAAAAAGATTCTCTACTCAACGGACATAAATGACAACGACACAAACACACGACTCAACTACAACTCTCAAAAATAGATAAGAAAGACACACACCGACGTAACAAAAAGAAGTACTGGTGGTTACAACACTAACCACTTAACAATAATGAAACAAAAATACGAATAAACAAAAAACAACTGACACTAAATCCTCGTTAGTATAGTGGTCAGTATCTCCGCCTGTCACGCGGAAGACCGGGGTTCGATTCCCCGACGGGGAGGATCATATTTTATTTTCATTTCCTGCTATATTTATCTAACATCCATATTTATATACTTTTAACCCTAGTATTAAAACAGCTACCATTATTGTACGCCATCTATTATGATTATTATTACTATTATACTACCCAGTTCCTACCATGTACAATACTCATTAGTATTATATTATCTTATAATTGTCTCCTTCAACTTATATTCATCTTAATACTGCAAAACACAAGACGACGCAGATAACACCATAATCTAAGGTGCTACAAAACACTAATTAGACCCATTTTGACATACGCATGCCCCACGTGGTTCAACATCTCTGCAAGCACGATGGAAAAAATTAGAATATTTGAACGCAAATGCCTCAGAGCTTGCATAGGTAAATACAGGACACCTGAATCAAATTACACTAAACTAATCAGTAACCACAAACTATACGAACTCGCCAACATCATTAGAATAGATCTTCATATACTAAAACTTATCAGAAACCACTGGGCAAACATTAGAAGCGTGAAAAGCAATAGTTTAATAAATAGCTCCATATATCCCAATACACAATACCACGAAAAAACACGACACACCGGCTACATCCCACCCGAAGCATTTATTCATCTAGACAGCGAAGGATACATACAGGACAAAGACAACACACCACTTATTTACCATACCACACGGAAAGCAGACGACAAAAAAATTCTGTATTCAACAGACATACAAGACAACGACATAAACACAAGACTTAGTTGTAAACTCTCAAAAATCGACAAAACAGACGCACACCGCCGCAACACAAAAAGATATTGGTGGTTACTACATTAACACAACAAACACAAAACACAAACACAAATCTCATTCAAATAGGCCTTAATAAAAAACACTACCGTTCAAATCCTCGGTAGTATAGTGGTTAGTATCCCCGCCTGTCACGCGGGAGACCGGGGTTCGATTCCCCGCCGGGGGGTATGTTTATTTTTTCCTTTTTCTCTCTTATCTATCATTGCTAGTATTCTATTTATTTCATTTTCTATTTCTCTCTCTTCATCTAATGTATTGCTTTAACTAATATAGATAAGGTCACAACCTTTTTGTTCTAAACTCGGTATCATTCATACTATATGTAACTTGTAAATATGTATACATATGTATAAGCCTATGGACGTACAAACATATAGGCGTGCGATTATGGATGAATGGGTGTATGAATGGGTGTTTGAATGCGCGAGTGTGAGTGTGTGTAATCGTACTAGTTCAACGTACACATAAAATACTACATTCTTAGCATAACATAGTTCTCCTGAACTAGCACAAATACGTAATGTTAAGTTAGAGGATAAAAAAAAAAAAAAAAAGCAAACTAGCATAAAATAACATAAGTATATACTCCTACTTCCCTTTCCCTTCCACCTCCCTTCCCTTCCCCCTCCCATTTTTGCGGCTGTAAAGAAACCAAAAAAATGTATAGTTTTCTAAGTGCCTTTCTATACACATAAAGACTGCCTTCTAGATTAAGTTAGCTTTAAGGAAAAGTATTATATTAAGCGATAAGCGCGATAGATTAAGTTTAGTGTTAAGATTGCGAGAGCTCGACCTGCGAGCCTTTGATCTCAAAGTTGTACCTTAGTCATACTTATCCTTTTGTACGTTTTGGTTTGTTGTACCTGTTTTGTATATATTGTTGTATTTATTCTGGCACAATAAACGTATGTTACAAAAAAAAAAAAAAAAAGTTATCAACTTACCAACTCAGTCTCCTCTCTTCCAAATCTTACCCCACACTCTGTCATTCGTTCCACGCTCTTACTTTTCCAAACACGCACAGTCTATGTGATTGCCGGCATGATATCATTTAAAAAAAAACACATATCACACCTCACAAACACCATGATGTACCATATAATACCTAACTTTCCCTCACTCATCAAACACCAAATGTATAGTTTTTGCCATTTTCTATACACACCTTAGACTCAATGTATAAATAATTAAGTTTAGTTTAAGTTGTACATAATGTAGCATTAAGTGCCATGTATATATTAGAGCCTTGTACAGATTGTGCGTGCTCCATGCAGGAGCCTTAAATCTCACCATATAATCTAAAATATTCTGTAACCCTTTTTTTGTATGTTTAGGTTTATTGTACCGTTTGTAAAAAATAATTTATTGGCATAATAAACATACTCTTACAAAAAAAAAAAGTGGTTAGTATCCCCACCTGTCACGCGGGAGACCGGGGTTGGATTCCCCGCCGGGGAGGATCATATTTTATTTTTATTTCCTGCTATATTTATCTAATATTCATATTGTAAGCACCACTTGGAAAAAGAGAATTAAAGTCAGGATAGTGTGGTATCCCAAAAAGTATTTATTCCGTATTCCTAAGCGATTCTTAAGGATTCCGGCGTCCGTCTCGCTCGACGGCTATTTCCAGAATGTCCTTTCCGCGTCGTATCCCACGTTGCTCCGAAAAACCGTTGGAGCCCCCTCGTTTGACTTTCTGGGGAAAGGGCTTAGTTTATGGCACCCTCAGGTACCCGCGCGCTTTCTCTTTCTGGGTGACAAAGTCCAGACCACCACTTCGCCGCCGGAATCTCGCATTTCTTACATTCGGCCATCCTGACGATCGGTCCGTCTTCGGACCGCTTATCTAAAAGAAGCTCTCGTTATTACGCATTCAATGTGTATACTTTACAATACCAATAACAATTCCTCATCCGTAATGTAGCTAGGGGTTTCGTTCAGAGGGCAAGGGTTGCCCATCGGCCCGTACAGGCAGCACCCTGACCGCGTCCGGGCGTGTTGTTGCTTTGGGGTAGGTCCTGCATGGCCCGTTCGGTTCTCTTCTCCTTGCGTAGGCCCCTCCAGAGTCCTGTCCCCGTTGAACCTATAAACACGACCTAGAGCTGCTTTCCCCTTCGGGTTATGCTCCAGGATGGGTAACAACCCGGTCGCGGTCTGATCCCGCCTCTCCCACCTCGATTGCGTTCCAAGACAGGCTGCAACCATGTCTCGGTCTGAATCTACAATCGAGGGGGCACCTCTCCCTTCCCCCGGTTGCGTTCCAAGACAGGCAACAACCATGTCTCGGTCCGAATCTGCAACCGGGTAAAACGTCTCCCACCTCAATTGCGTTCCAAGACAGGCTACAACCATGTCTCGGTCCGAATCTACAATCGAGGGGACAACAACCTCTCCTCCCGGTTGCGTTCCAAGACAGGCAACAACCATGTCTCGGTCTGAATCTACAACCGGGTACATCATCTTCCGTCAGCCGGCATCAATCGAGGGATGTAACCGCTTAACGGTCCGCTACCATGCACACTTCGTGTCGATTTCGAGCTCGTTTCGGGACGACCTCAGACCTGTGCTGCCCGCGGGGCCGTATACACCCTCGTGTCACCTTCCACGCTCTGTTGTCATCCTTGGTCGCCCGATTCGACTTTGCGTCACGAAGCCCGTCTTCCTCGATATATCAGTGGTCCCTGGCCGGCCCCAGGAGCGGCCACTCTGCGGCTGCGCCCCGTCCTTGTCACTCCAGTTTCTGTACTCAGAAAAACATGTGGTTAGTCGTATTCGTAGGCAACCCCAGTTCAATAACCTCTCCGACATCGATCCCTGAAAGAATGCTAATTAGAATCACCGCCATCGCTACCCTGGATTGTAATCCATGGCTTGATCCGATCGGCCGCGACAACCGTCCGGAACCGTCTCACCCCCTCTCGCACGTCTTCCACCTCGTAGCGATCGTTGGGCAACACGGTTCGGATTCGAAACGGCCCTTTATATTTCGGAAGCAGTTTCCGAGATGCGCCGGTGGCAGGTTCGCTGGTCAGCTGCACCAGCACTAGTTCTGCTACCGTATATCGGCGAGCGTCCCGCCTGCTGCGGTCATACCGCTCCTTCTGTGCCTGCTGGTCCTTGGTGATGTGCTGCGCCATGGTCCCGCGCAACTGGGCCAGACCCAAGCAATCTACCTCCTCTCGTACCGCACTCAGGATTCGATTCTCTGCCACGGTCCGCCCATCGGATCCGATCAAGGCCCCTCATTGGCGTTGTGGCAATGCCCTTGTTATGCATTGTGTTCAACGCACTTTGCACCTTCTTCACCTCCAGGTCCCAGTCTCTCGGGTCTTTACCTGCGGCGGTAGTGGCGAGTGCGTCGACCACCGTCTTGTTGTACCGTTCGCACTGCCCGTTCGCCCTCGGGGTCGCCACGGCATTCAGTAATAATCGCTGATAATTCTTGTCGGTGCTCCGAACAGATACATCAGGCTCAGGAGCGCCTTCACCGTATGCCGGGTCTTCTGATCCTTCACCGGCTCGATGATTGTGAATTTGGTGAAAGCGTCGACAATCACCAGCAGGTATTTGTTATGCCTCCTGCTTGTCTCGAAGGGCCCCACGTGGTCGATGTGAATGGTGTGGTACGGGACAGGCACCTTCTCGATCACGTTCAGTTTGCACTGCTTCCTTCCTCCCGTGTGTTTGTAGTACGCGCAGCTGATGCACGCCTTCACGTACTTGGCAACGAATTGTCGCATCCTGGCGAACCAGTAATTCCGTTTGATGCGCTCCAGCGTCTTCTCCGCACTCAGGTGTCCCGCATCATCGTGGCACAGTCGGCAAATCTGAAACCGTGCATTCCTCGGTACTACCCACGCCTTCCCGTTATCCAGAAGTCGGCGGTATATTTTGCCCTTCTTGAGTATATATTCGTCGAAGTAGTGCTTCGTTTCCGGCTTCCGGTCGTTGATCTCGAGAATTTCACGGACACGCGCCAATTGGTCGTCCTGTAGCTGAGCCGCCGTTATCCAATCACCTTCC